AAGGAAGCGACTACGGCCTCAGCAGAAACTGTTAACAAAAGAGTATCGACAACACAACAGGTTAGTCAAATCAGCTTAGTCTAGTCTCAGCACAATAAAGCTATCGAGACAGGATGAGAAGTTTTGCTTCAATGTTTTGAATTGTTATTTCAAGAACTAATACTAATTGAAATTACTTGCTATCTGAAAGTTATATTCTTGCTTTTCTTCGTACTCTGAACCTATTTTTGAATTTATGTAATTAGGACTGAAAACAATGAAGTTGATTTCAATTTTCATCAATCAATTCACATTTATATGCCAATCAGTTCTGATCTGGCGTGAAATTTGAAATTGTTCTGATCTGATTGCATTTGAGGAGAAGCAAGTTGGCAAGGAGTTAATGCAAACAAATGATGTCCTCAAACTAGTTAACGATCTGTTTCGAAAAAGCGTTTCGCTACCAAAAAAGTATTGGAATTTGTGGAGCCAGCTAAGAAAAGTTTGTGTTATTTGAAGTTTTTTAATTCTGAAGGTCTTCATGCATCTTTGCCTTGTATAGCACCAATTCGATCTGGTTCCAATCACAATTATAGCAATACGCAATCGATTTATTGCTAGATTCCAATTTATCAATATAAAATAACTCACCTTGACATTATTGTATATTTGTCTGAAGTAGGTCAAATCTCTCATGATAATTTGGTTTTTTGTGTGAAAATAGCACAAATTATCAACAAATGAATTCAATAGTAAAGATCAAACAATTATTTCTATTGCTCATAGTTCACAAAACGAGATATAAAGTAAGAAAGCGGTTATGCTGATGCAATTCTGAATCTAAAAATTTGATGAAAGTTCAAGCACACTTTGGCCAAAGAATCATTATAATAATGATGGCTCAGTTTCAAACTGCAACTTCAATTAGATGGCAAGCACTGCTCTGAAAATTTCACTTTTGGAATTCAATTTTTCATTCTCACATCAATTTTAAGAATCCAAAACTATATTATATGATAAAATGCAAGAATGTGGCAATTCAGATCAGCCAAATTGCTATTATTGGACGTACTGTCCAAAATTAGAATATAATTATTTAAAACTGAGTACTCTAAAGGCTTATATACCTCAAACGAATGATTATAATTTGAAGGTAATTTCTTGTGAAAACTAATATTACAGTGCTTGCCAATTTTGCAGTGCAATACTGAAATATGGAGAAAAATTTTAGCAACCAAAATTGGAAATCGACCAATCCCGATTAGTTGGTGACTTTCATAATCATGGGGATAGAGGTGATTGGCGTGTAATCGGAATGCGATCTACACGGACTAATAACGTAAGCATCGAGTATGACGTGATGCGTTTGTGTAAGAAAAATGTCGCTCTCAACTGCACGCCCTTTCCTGAAGTTATCATTTTTTGTTACTTAATAAAATGCTTACTTTTGTTTCCAATTGCAAAACATTTCGGAAGAAAAAATATTCTTAAAAAATATGTCGTTCCGTAAATGCACAAATTTTCTTTTATGCTGATTTTTGCATAAAATTTAGTACGTTCATTCTGGGCAGCTCTGTATTTGAATTTTGCTCAACTTCAGATGATGACAAAAGAAAACAATGATCAGGTTATGAAGTTCTGCACCTCTGATAATTCTAAAGATCATTTGTTCTTCATGCAACAGTACAAATTACTTGAGGTGCTGAAAAGGCGTTATCCAAATTACAGGTAATAAAATAATGAATGAAAAACT